GTCTGCCCCACAGATCTTCACTCCATTGCATCAGCCCCACCAGGACATCCCCATTTCCCACTGCCTGGCAGGGCAGAGGCTCCTCATCCCTTTGGGATGTGCTGCCCCATGTCCTGCTCCTGTCCCAGCCCCATTCTGGGAACCCCAAGCTCTGGAGCCCCCCTGGGCTGGTGCAGCTCAGGAGGGTGCCCGTGCCAGCCCCTCCATGCTGGGCACGAGACTCACCCTCCCCACCTGGCTACAGAGGGCAAATCCATTGCAGGCAGCTCTGCGGCTGGATGCCCAAGCAGGACAATATCCCAAAATGCAAGAAACACCTTCCACTTCTAGAAATACCATGGCCAGTTTGTTTTTTTCTGCTTGAATACTTTGGGGAGGCCTGAAATGTTTGCAGAAGGCTGGGGAGGGTCCCCCAAAAGTCAAGGGGCCCTTTAGGAACAGCACAGGCTCCTGCCTTGTGCCTCCGGCACACGGAAAAGGCTTTGTTAAATGAGGAGGAATTACCTACTTTGGGATAGTGGAAGGACATTATTGAAATGGAGCCACCCGCTGAAGACTTGAAACTTTCAATGGCTTTGCCAGTGACACATGAAACCTCCCCAGTGCTGATCCTGTGGGCTCTTCTCACCAGGAGGGGGATTTGGGCTGTTCTGTGCCAGTGCAGCCATGGCTCAGCAGTGACATCAGTCTGAGTATCACAAACTCCAGGCTGGTTTCCAGCCTAAGGCAAAATATTCTACATAAGCAAAAAAGGCCTGTTCCAAATAATTCAAAATTTCTGGCCCAGGCAGGGACCCTGACAGAGTTTTTGGACATTTTCAGGGTATTTGCATGTAGGGGGATACAGTATGGGTATAGAATGTAATCTTATCCCCTAAAGAATTGCAGCTGAACCAATTACTAAAGATTAGGAGCAGGCCTGATGTTAACAGGCCACACCTGTAGCAAATCAGAACATTGTTATAAAAGAGTGGGTTGGTAGGAGTCAGATGGCTGCTGCAAGGGCCAGGAACAGTCAGTGCTTGGAGGAGCTACCTACAAGAAACATTGAGGAGGTATGAAACTCTGGTGATAGGGAATCCTTGCACTATAATGATAAGAGAACTCTCGATGTATACGACAACATTTGCAGATCTTTGCATCTGTCTCTGAGACACATCTCAGTATCCACTTTGGGTTGGCTGTGCCACCCCTGCCCCCAGAGCCGCTCAGCGGCTCCTGCTTGGGGACAGACAGGTGCTGGTTGTTCCCCCTGCAGCTCCAGCAATGTCTGGGTCCTTGTTTTGATTCTTCCTGGTGAGTCCCTGCCCTTCCTGGGCTCCCACAGCCTCAGCTCTACTGCTGGGAATGTCACAGGCACAGCTCTGAACCCCCTGGGACGCAGAGTCCCTCCGGCAGGGGAGTGAAGGTGTGACCCTGCAGTCCCTGCCCTGGCCCTGCAGCACCCCAGGGGCTGTGCTGCAAGCAGAGTCACTTCTTCCTACACACCAGTGCAGGAGGATTCAGTGGGGATGGCCAAGCCCCCACAGCAGTGCTGGGGATATCCCAGGCTCTGCTCCCTGCAGCAGGGACACACAGACAGCAGAGCTCTGGGTGGGTGCCGTGTCCCAAACCAAAATCCAGTGATTTAGGAATTGTCATTAAGGATGGCCAACAATGAAATCATTTTAGGAGCATCTGGAGGAAATTGGACAGGTGACCTAAAGCCAAAAAGCAGAATGCTACTTGGTACAGCTGGGGTTTCTTTTTTTTTCTTTTTTTCATTTTTATCTGAAGAGGAGCCACCCACGAGCTCAGGGATGATCCTAGGAGAAGCGGGGCAGTGCCAGGCTCTCTGCAGGGCACCTGGTGATGGAAGAGGTCCCATGTGACAAAAGCATTGGCACCATCAGGCTGCACCTCCCTGTCTCAGCACTGTGACCCCAGTGCCCTCCCTGGCACTCAGGGTGTCCAGCCAGCCCCAAACTGATCCCAAAGCCAGACCTGGGATGTCCTCAGGTGGGAAAAACTCCTGTCCTGTGCACCCACTGCACCCCTGTGGTGCTGCAGGGAAGGTGCCAGTCCCTGTGGGTGCCCCTGCCCAGGGTGGGGGGCACAGGGCAGCCCCCCAGAGCAGCCTCAGCACTGGGGCACCCTCACAGAAGTGTGGGGAGGGATGCTGGAACAGGGCACCGTGGACTGGGAGCAGCAGAGCCAGATTTTCAGGCTCCTGCCTTTGAACTCTGGGTGCCCCAGGGCATCTCTCTCCTCTCCCTGGGGGTCTGGCCATGGGAGCCCCTGTGCTGGAGGGGCTGAGGGGCCACAAACCCACCCTGCATCCCCTGTTGTGCCTCAGTTTCCCCACATCCAGGGGCATTAGAAATGCTCCCCATGGGTCCTCTCCTGCTTTGCAGGCTGCCTGGGAGGGCGCTGGCTCCACGTCCCTGGTGCTGGGGATGCTCCAGCCTCTGGCCCTGGCCCCTCTCCACTCCCTGGCTGGCTCTCTGGGCTGTTTATTTGTTTTTCAGTCTCGGGGTGATTTTTTCTCTGCAGAGACATTCAGGCCTCCCAGGGGAGATGAAGCCAGCACACCTTCCACCCCCACAGGATCAACCTGGGCTCTGACCCAGCCCCTGCTCCAGGGTCAGCCTGGGAATCCACTCCCAGAGGATGGGGCAGGTGTGGGTGTCTGCTCAGAAGGGAAATCCCAAACCTGGAGGCCTGGGGAGCTCTGAAGTCCCTGGGGGATATGGGGTCCAGGCAGGGAGCCTGGATGGGTGTTCGACTGGATGAAGGGCTCAGGATGAGGATGGAGAAGCTTGACTTTGCCTGGACCTGAAACACTGACACAGGATTTGTTTTTTCTTATTGTCCCCTCCCTGCACTGTGTGCCTGAATTTCTCCCCAGATCTGGGGTACCGTAGCCTCTCTGCTGCCTCATCATCAGTGCCCAGGGATGTACCACAGCCAGGGCTGTGCTTACATGCTCTCCTCGATAATTTTCTCTGACACTTCCTTGCTGACAGTTGGAAAACAGAAAATATCTATTTACAGGGGGCAAGAGAGCAGAAAATTTGAAAAAAAAGAAGTCACACTGAATAAAACTGGTAACTTTGGGAACCCCTGGCACTGGATGCTCCTCACCCTGGCACCCACCATGGCACAGGCTTGGGATGCTCACATGGCTTTCATTGAGCCTCACTGAATATCCTGGCTCTGGGAGCTGGGGATTCAGGGGAAAGCCCAGGACAGGGATCCTTGCCCTGGAAATGCTGTGTAAGCAGCAGCACCTTCCTGGCCACCCCATTCCCCCCTGACACGTGTGCTGGGACCTGCTCTGGGGCTTGTCCACACAGGGCACCACACCTGAAGCATGTCCTGTGGAAGGTCCCACCACCCCTGAAGGCCCCTTGTCCCTGTCATGACTCTGGGGTGGTGCAGAGCCCCATCTGTGCAGTGCTTGGGTGCCCCATCTGTGCAGTGCTTGGATTTGGCTCCATCTGCAGCCCCAGCCTGGCCCCTGCCCCTCTGCACCCCCAGCTGGGAGGGTCTTGGTAAATGCAGCTCTGAGTCCCCCCTGGCTAAGGAGGCTCTGCTGGGTGGAACCCCCGGGGCCTGTTCGAGCCAGCACGAGCCTGGCCCTGCACAGAGAGCCCTGCCACCGTCCCCAAAGCCACCGGTGCTGCCCTGGCACGGGGACAGGACCCTCAGGCTAGGTACAGGCTGGGGTACGGGGGTATGGGGTGGGGTTCAGGCTGGGGTACAGGTATAGGCTGGTGTACAGGGGGGCAGGCTAGGGTACAGGTGTACAGGATGGGGTACAGGCTGGGGTAGAGGGGTGCAGGTGCAGGCTGGGGTGCAGATTGGGGTTCAGGCTGGGGTACAGATTGGCATTCAGGCTGGGGTGCAGATCAGGGTTCACGCTGGGTGCAGGCTGGGGTTCAAGCTGGGGTACAGATTGGGGTTCAGGCCGGGGTGCAGGTTGAGGTTCAGGCTGGGTGCAGGCTGCCTGGCCCGGGCAATAAGGACACCGCGCTCCGTGGTTCCCACGCGGCCGGGAAATCTCCGGCAGGATCCGCAGCGCCTCCGGCCCCGGGCTGGGCTCAGGCTCCGGCTTGCGGAGCGCTGCTGGCTCCAGGCGCTGCTGTCTGCGCTGCCTGTCGGGGCAGGGCCGTCCCTCCCTGCTGCGGAGCCACAGCGCTGCTCCCGCGTCACCGGCGCACAAACCACCGTGGGAATCCCTGGCGACACGGGCGCAGCAGGACTGGTGACCGGGGAGCCTCGGGGCGCTACTGGGGGGCTCTGGGGGGAGCCTCGGGGTGCTACTGGGGTGCTTTGGAGCCCGAAAGGGGGATGCTGGCTTAGGGGTCATGACTGGCAAAGCTCTGTGCAGTATTTGTGCTCTCCCATGCCCTGTGGGTCCCACAAATCAAAGCAACACCATGGTAAGAAGTTGAAAGTCCTGTTAAGGGACAGTTTTGGTACAGGGAATTGGGGTCCCCAGCATTCCCCCACAGCCCAAGGACATCCCAGACAATGAGTGAGACAATGTCCAGCAGCATGGCTGTGTCACCACAGCATCGTTTCAGTACCCTGCTGAGGGGTCCCTACTGCAGCAGCAGCTTTCCAGACCCTTTTTAAAATTGGGGCCCAGCCACATCCATCTGTTCCAGTGTCACTGTCACACAGGCAGAGCTCCCTGTGGCACAGATCCTTCGGGCACAGCCTCATCCATCCCCTGTCCTGCAGGAGAGGCCTGGGGTCCCCAGCAGTGCACCAAGGTCCTGCACACAGCTGAATGAAGAGCGGTGGGCCCCTGGCAGGGATGTCACCTCCTGCCTTGTCTGAAGTGCCAGGTGGTGGCCCTGCCTGTGTCCTGTGCCCCGCTGTGCCGAGGGGAGGTGGCTGTGCCAGCCCAGCTCCTGCGGTGCCTCTGTCCTGCCCCGGCAAGGGGGGTGCCAGCGCCAGCACCGGCCTCCCCGGGGCCATTGTCCTTGTCCTCGGGCTGCACAGCGGTGACCTCACTTGCCCGCAGGAATCCCGTTCTCCCCAGCTCCTGCCGAGCCGAGTGCCATCTCCATCCGGCTCCTGGGAAGCTGCGATTCCCGGGGCTGCGCCACCGGGGCTGTGTCCAGCTGCACCACTGCAGAGAGAAGGCTCCTGTCACCCACTGGGCCAGCGCTGGGACAGGGGGCATCCTGAGGACACTGGGGAGTGGGGCCAGACACCATCCCCACCCTATCCTGCGTGCAGGATAGCAAAGGGCCCTGTATCCCTTAGGCCACCCCGGACAGAGGGAGGATGTTAGAAAGTCCCTGTCCAGGGATACAGAGAGGCCAAACCCATGGGGGTCCCCCAGCCAGTGCAGGGGGACATGGGAACATCAACCTGCAGACCCACCCCGCTCCACGGGACCCCCTCTCTGGTTCCCAAACCACTCAGGGATGGCAACCTGCGGCCAGGGCCCTCATGCTGGGCTGCGGTACCTGCTCGGCAGCTGTGCCGGGCGCGCACCTCCTGCATCGCCTGCTGGTTCTTGAAGCGCACCAGCCCCATGGTGATCTCGGCGTTCCAGCCCGGGTCCTCCTGGGCGCAGCGGAAATCGATCTCCAGGCTGTCGTCCATCACCACCGTGAAGTAAATGTGCCGCTCCTTCCACTCCACGCACTCCACGGCCTTCATGCGGGCAAAGCTCAGCTCCTTGTGCCGCGAACCCTTGGGCTCGAAGAGCTGCAGCCCCTTCTCGGTCAGCAGGCACCGCTTCTTCTTCCAGAGCTGCAGCAGCCCCCCGCTCCGCTTCTCCAGCACCCCCTCCCTCAGCACCTTCTCGGGGGTCATCGCGGCTGCTCGGCCCCGGGCTCCTCAGCACCCTGCGCCTGCCCAGCCGGGCATTACCCGCCGGGGAATCCCAGCCGAGCTCCCGGGGCCGGGACCCGCGGGGGCCGTGCTGCCCCGGGCCTGGCCGCTCCCGCCGCGGCTCTCAGAGGGGCCGAGGCTCGGGGAGCCCCATCCGGCCCGTGCCGGGCTCCGCTCCCTGCCCGAGCCGCGTGTGGGATCCGCGCTCGCAGGAGCTGTCGCTACTTGCCCGGCCGCTCTCCCACTCGCATTCCTGCGCCTCGCCTGGCCCCTCCTGCTCCCAGGCTCCCTTCACGCCCAGGCGAAGCCCGACCAGGCCCGGCGCAGCCCCGCTTCACCCGGGAGGAGCTTCTGGGGTGCCCGAGGGCAGCCGCGGCCTCGGGGCCTTCGTGTGAACAGGCAGGGTGAGGGACGGGGCTGCATGGCAGCGCTGCAGGGTGTGTGAGGGACGGGGCTGCATGGCAGCGCTGCAGGGACGGGATGGAACAGGGCTCGGGGACTTGTGCACGACAGCCCGGGGTGCAGGCACAGATGTTGGAGGGGCAGGAGCAGCTCTTGGGGGTGCAGCACCGGGTGTTGGGGGTGCAGCCCCGCGGGCACAGGGCTGTAGGGTGCAGGGGGCTCTGTGTAGCCGGGCAGGGGTACAGAGTACAGTGCTACCGGGCAAGGGGGGCTGGGGTGCAGTGCCAGCCAAGAAGGCACAATGGGCTGCAGTGCCAGGGCAAGGGCTGCTGGGTGCAGTGCCAGCTGGGACATTAGGCTGTGCCTGCAGCACCAGCCAGGCAGGGGCTCTGGGGACCCCGAGTGCAGCCCAGGAGGAGACAAAAGCGGAGAACAGCAGCAATGGGGACAACCCCTGACAGCCACTCACCCCCAGTCAGTCACCCGAGGGTGCCGGACCACCCCTCAGCACACAGAGCTCCCATTCCTCAAAGGCCCTGAGATGGGGGTTTGAAGCGCCCAGGCTGTCCCACAGCGAGGAGCATCCCCAGCCCTGTGACCTGTGCAGGAGCCGCGGAGCGGGGCCGGGGCAGCGCAGCCCGCTCCTCCTGCCTGATCCTCCCCCCCCCTGCCGGCAAGCACCGTCTCCTTTCCAGCCCGTCCCGTTCCCGGCCACCGCAGCACCGTCTGTTCCTGTGCCAGCGCCTGGCACCGAGGGTTCCCCGGGCCGGGCCGGGCTGCCGGGGGGGGCACCTGGGGACTTGTGAGCTGCCACGGGGGGTGACGGTCACAGGCGGCTGGGCAGCTGAATGTGCCCCTGCAAACGCTGAGAGAGTGGGTCCTTCACCCAGATGAGGTCTGCAATGGGAAGAGATCCCCCCGGGAATGTGCCGGGGTCACTGACAGGGGCTGGATCAGCCCCTGGCACACACCCTGCTCCTGCAGCCCCCACAGCCCCCAGCCCCGCAGAGCCCCGGCCGGAGTCCCCTCCTGCCCCAGCCCCTCTATCGCTCCGCTCCCTGCCGGGGGCTTTGCCGGCAGCCGCCGTGGCCAGCGGGCAAGTCTGCAGCGCTGATGAGATGCACCTCATTATCCCTCATTAAGAGGGCAGGGCAGCTGGCGGAGCCAGGAACTGGTTCGTGCTCCCTGGGGCCAACCTCGCCACGCTGGCAGAGATCCCGGCTGTCCCAGGAGACCCGGGCTCCTGACGTGGGGCGGCCCCGGAGGTCACCCCGAGCACCCCGGCGCTTAGGAGGGGGCAGAGCAGTGTGGGTTCCCCAGCAGAGCAGGGTGGGTTCCCTTGGCAGAGCAGTTTGGGTTCCCTTGGCAGAGCAGAGCAGAGCACTGTGGGTTCTTCCAGCAGAGCAGAGCAGTGTGGGTTCCCCAGCAGAGCATTTTGGGGTTCCTCAGCAGAGCAGAGCACGGTGGGTTCCCTCAGCAAGGCTGCTTTCCCACACACAGGTAACGCTCAGCTCCAGGGATGCTGAGCCCTGGGAGCTCAGGGGGAGCAGTTTTGGGACTGTCACTGTTCTGGTAAGCTGGGATGTCAGTGGGCAGTTCTGGTTCATCATCCAGCTCCAGCTCCATCCTCACAGCCCAGGGGAGAGCCAAGGGCTGCCAACCCGGCCCCTCTGCTCACCACAGTCACTGCTTCTCCAGGCACCAGCCACCAAGGGAGGGAGCTGGTCCTGCAGCTCTGGGTGTGAAGGAGCTTTGGGAACGTCCTTCTCCACTCCCATCTCCCCAGACACAGCAGGGGCAGGGCTCTCACCCTGCCAGGCTGCCCAGGGGCACACGGCACTTCCTGCCCTGCAGCAAACCCTGCAGGACCCACTGTGTCAGGCTGTGGGTGAGCCAAGGGCTCTGCTGTGCTCCATGGGCTGCCCACGGCTCATCCCATCCACACGGGGCCCTCAGGGCAGGTGACAGTGCTGTGGGGCTCAGCCCTGCCCCGAGGTGACATCCCCACAGGGCTGGGTGACAGGGTGACATCCCCCCTCACAGTGGGGCTTGGGGGCTCCACTCTGACCCCCCAAGCAGTGCCATCACCTCGAGGCTCCAGGGTGCTTGGGCACAAGCCACTCGCTGGTTTGTCCCTTGAGGGCAGGTGTGGGTGCCACAGCCCCTTCCCAAGGGCGGGAGCTGCCTCGAGGGGGAGCTGGACAGCACCTGGCACAGGTGAGCAGACTCGGCTGGGCCCTGCTGTGCTGCTAACCAGCCGAGGGTAGCATGGTCAGAGCTGTCCCACTGCAGCTCGGGCAGGAGGTGCCCAAAAAGCACCTCTAGTCCCACCCTGCTTCTCCTGGGCCGTGTCCCAGCACCTCCTCCCGCCCCCCTCACGCCTCTGTCGGGATGTGCAGCCCCCGTGATCCCATCCTGGTGTCCTCACGGTGGGCTCTGTCACCCCCCAAGCCACTCTGAGTGACCAGTGCAGGGTCAGCAGGAGTGTGGCACCCAGGGCAAACCCCCAGGACATGGTCCCTGTCCTGGGACCTTTGGGGCTGGGAGCTCAGCAGGGACCCACCAGGCAGGAGAAAAGAGGACCTGGGGAGGCTGAACTTCAGTTTTCCACTGTCTATAGAAAGGTTGCGGAGACATGGCCCTGCCTGGCAAAAGGACACAAGACACCAGGCACAGGGGCACAACAGGGCAAGCAGGGATTCAAAGAATCATTAATGTTGGAAAATCCCTCCCAGGTCACAAGACCATCCATTCCAATCACTCCCCCAGCACTGCCACAATCCCACGTCCCCATATTTCACATCCCACAGGGCTTCTGAACACCCCAGGGGTGGTGACTCCACCACTGCCCTGGGCAGCTGTGCCAGGGCCTGACCATCCTTTCAGTGATGAAACAACCCTTCCAAGGCTTGTGTGGCCCAATGCTGTGACAGGATCCCCAGTGGTGGGACCTCCATCCTCAGAGGGTTCCTGTACCTCAGTGGACACCAAAGGCTCTGGCCAACCTGACCTCTGGAACCCTGCCTTAAGCAGTTAAGGCTTCTGCTGGTCCCTTCCAACCTACATCTATCCATGGCCCTCCAAAACCAAATCTAGCATTTTCTCCTGGCTTTGACCAGGCCTCCAAGTGGAATTGGCCTCTCTGGGGTCCAACATGTGAAATGTCACTATCTCATAGAACCATCAGCTGGTTTGGGTTGAAAGGTTAAGAACCATCCTGTTCCACCCCCTGCCATGGCAGGGACACCTTCCACTGTCCCAGATTCCTCCAAGCCCTGTCCAGCCTGGCCTTGGACACTTCCAGGGATCCAGGGGCAGCCACAGCTGCTCTGGGCACCCTGTGCTGGGGCCTCTCCACCCTCACAGCCAAGAATTCCTTCCCAATACCCCATCTAACTCTGCCCTATGGAGTGGAAAGCCATTCCCCTTTGTCCCAGCACTCCAGGCCCTTGTCCCCAGTCCCTCTCCAGCACCCCTGGAGCCCCTGTAGGCACTGGAAGGGGCTCTGAGCTCTCCCTGGAGATTTTTCCAGGTGACATCCCCAGCTGTCCCAGCCTGACTCCGGAGCAGAGGGGCTCCCTCTCCTCCCCTCTCTCTGACAGAACCCCTACAGCTGCATGAGGAAGGGACAAAATACTCATTGTAGCTTTACTGAGCAACCAGCACTGCCTGGGCACGATCCCACCTGGGGCACATCCAGCTGAGATGCCAGAGCAGCAGCAGCACAGCATCCCCTGCATGCTCACAGAGAAGGCAGCAGCTTCCTGACCCCTCCATCCCTGCAGCAGCTTCCAGAACAGGCCCCCCTCACCTCTGTGGTGGAGCAGCAGGGCCTCTGCCAAGCGAGGGAGGCAGGTTTGGGTCTCCACACCAGGCTGGTACCTGAGCCCTCTGTGCTGCAGCTCCCAGCCCTTCCTGAGCCTGGGCTGTCTGCCCCCCACACCAGACCCCTCATCCCAGCCACCCCACAGCCCAGAGCAGTGGGTCCTGCTGGAATCTAAAGGGGGAAGGTTTTGGAGATGGTAAACGTTTTGCAGATGGCAACTCCCCATGTGCATTTCATAAACATCATGTAAAGCTGAGGGTGTGATGAACAGGAGAAAGCACTGAGGTTGATAAAGGAGCCCCAGTCCTGCCCCAAAAAAGGATTTCTGCCTCTGTTGTGCTTCTCAGAACACTCCTCATCTCATTTGCTCAACCACAATGTTTATAACTTTAAAAACCCCAGAACCCAATTGCCTGTGGAGCCCCTAAGCTGCAGCAAGGCTGATCCGAGTCTGTCCCACCAGTCCAACAGGAGAATCACAGAAAGGGAGTGAAGAGTTTAGATGGAAACCAATTAGACCTGGGCAGCTGCCAAACTGGAGGCTTAATGATCCACAAGCTGTAAAAACGCAGGGAGTAGGTGAAAAGCTGTTAATTACTTGGCACTGCTGGGCACACCTCTTGGCGAGGTGCCACCTAAAGCACTGATAGGGGTTTTGAGAGCCTGAGCACGTGTGTGGTGCTACCAACACACCCAGCAGGGCTGTCCTGGCCTCCCAGCATCAGCCTCTGCTTTTGGAATAGTTATCCCCATT